AGCAGGGAGCCCGATGCGGGACTCGATCCTGGGACTCCAGGATCATGACCTGAGCCGAAGGCAGTCGCTTAACCAACTGAGCCACCCAGGCGCCCCAGGAAGGATTATTTATAAGAACATTTAAGACAACCATTTTTGGAAAAATATTTTTGTCTTTAATGATTAGGGAGTGCTTAGATCTAATGAATACAACTCTCTTGACAGAATGCCTATATCATTATATCATAAATGCTTTCTGTTGGGTGGAATTGCTTTTACTGGAGATTGTTGAGTTCAGAATGGGCCTAATGATGGGGCAGTTTGTGTACTCACAGAAGTTTGAGCCTAATAGAGATGAGATGGCAGCCGATAAGATTTCCAGTGGGTTTTAGAGTTTACACTGATCTAAAGGGCAGCTCCCCTTCTACTGGCATCCTTACTCAAGCTTCTTTGTATTCCTGATTGCAAATTCTAAATATTGACACACTTCCTGAAGCAAAAGCATTGAATCTGTGAGGTGGAATTTTACATTGATATAGAGAAGTTTAAATGCTCCATAAAACATCTCTTATCCCTTGCCCCTGATTTTTACTTTGAATGAAGGGTATAGATGGCGGGAGGGAGGGCGGGCGTGGGCAGAGAAGTTGAGCAAAAGTATATATGTGTTTGGTAGGGCCATAGTGCTCAGAGGAAGGCAGCAGCTAAAAGGGGTGAGGTGAAGAGGAACTGAAGTTTATGTAGAGGTTTTAACAAAGCGGCAACACTTAGACTGAGTTTTGAAGATGAGGAGGAGCCCAGGCCAGAGGGAAAGGAAGTTTTACCTAGAGGTGCATACGTCTAGAGAGGCACAGAGATTTGGAGACTCACTGGTTGAACGCAGGTACTTGGTATGGCTTTGGCACAGAGTAAGGGTAATTGTAGGTCAAGGAGAAGTGGTTGGAAAGATGGGATAGGTCCAGATCAGATTTGGACTTTATTCATAGGTTGTGTATTCTGTTGAGCATGATAATCAAATTTGTGAACTTTGGAAAGATCACTCTGAAAGTCTGTGGGAGGCAGGGCAAGACTAGAGATAGGCAAACTACTTTGGCAGTTGTTAACAATGGTTCAGACCTAAAATGAGAGGTTAGACTAGGGGGTGTCCTGGTAGGGATAAAGAGGAGGAGCTAGATTTGAAAGATATTCAGGAGGTGGAGGGGTGCCTGGGTGGCTCAGTCAGTTAAGCGTCTGACTCCATCTCAGCTCTGGTCTTGATCTCAGGGTTGTGAGTTCAAGCCCTGCATTGGGCTCCACGCTGGGCATGGAACCTACTTAAAAAAAAATTTCAGGAGGTGGAATTGACAGGGTTTAGGAGGTACAGAGTAAGGGACGGAGAAGACAAGGATGTTAAGGGTCAAGGCATTTGGATGAATGGAAGTTCATAACTGAGTTAGAGAACAAGGAAGGAGGAACAGAAATGAGGAAAAAAATAAGTTCGGTTTGGGCCATTGACTTTAAGGTGTGTATGGGTCAGGAGATACCTGGTAGGCATTTGGAATTGTCCGAAGTTTGTAGGCAATGGCTATAGGGACTAATGAGGCCTTGAAGGTAGGGTTTTTTATTTTTTCTCTTCCTCAACACTAATCACGGTGCTTTGTATATAGTGGGTATTTAGTGTGAGGGTGAATAGATCTTATCCCTTATAAGATGTGATCTTGAATCTTGGGGAAGTAATTTCCTCTCTCAAGACATGTGTTTCCCTTTCTGTAAGAGAGGGAGTTGAACTAGATCAGTTGTTTTCAGTAGTCTGGTATGTTGGGATCAGTTGTGAGGTATGGTGAGTAATTTCTAACTAATAAAGAGCTGATGTTTGCTTGCCTTTTAAATGGGAGCTGATCTATGTCACTGTTTCTTAATTGCATTCCAGTGTGTTTTCTTAAGTGTGAGAGAAAGGGGCAGAATTAGTTGGCAGGAATTTCCTAGCTCTGGATAGACCAGTGGGAGTGTCACATAGCAGCAGGGGTGGAAAAAAAGGTTAAGAAGCACTGTATTAAATGGTGGTTAAAAGGCTTAGAACTAGGGGCGCCTGCGTGGCTCAGTTGTTAAGCATCTGCCTTCGGCCTAGGTCATGATCCCAGGGTCCTCGGATCGCATCGCGCTCCCTGCTCTGCAGGAAACCTGCTTCCCCCTCTCCCACTCCTCCTGCTTGTATTCCCTCTCTCGCAGTGTCTCTCTCTGTCAAATAAATAAAATCTTAAAAAAAAAAAAAAGACTTTAGAAAATTCTGTGTTTATGTCTACGACGTATCATTCTGTTGATAAATAATTTTTATTTTTGCAACTTTAGGAACTCTATTTTAATAACCTCTCAAAACAAAAGAAACAAGTCATGGAGAAGAATGGGAATAACAGAAAGCTTCGGGTTTGCGTTGCTACTTGCAACCGTGCTGATTATTCTAAACTTGCCCCGATCATGTTTGGCATTAAAATGGAACCTGAGTTCTTTGAACTTGATGTGGTGGTACTTGGCTCTCACCTGATAGATGACTACGGGTAAGATGAAAGCATTTTCTTACGATATTCTTCATTGCAACATGGTGTACTAGAGAGAGCTTGGATCTTGTGGCCATGTGGACCTATCTTCAAATCCCGGTTCTCCCTCTTAGTTTTTATATGGCCTTGGAGAAGTTGCATCTTCAGGTTCCTCAGTTATAAAATGGAGTGAAAACCTATGGTGTAGGTTACTGTGAAGAATGGAGGCAGTGATAGAAAGTGGCCATCGCAGTGTAGCTGCTTAATAGGTGCTTGACAAACGATAGCTATAAATATTTTTATTATTACTTGTTACATTCAGGAGAAATGCCACTTATAAATATATGTTGTGTGACTCTAATAATGTAACTTCCTGTAATATGTTTTGTGAGTTCTAATGGTACTACTTTCTTAAAACTCGTGTATAGATTGACAGCATACAAAGTAGTAGATATGAAACAAGATTTTAAAAATCTAATTTACAAGATAAATTTGAATGTTATATTGCCATTGGTATTTATTTTGGTGTTTGTCATTAGGTTTGTTATTGGTCACAGTCTAAATTTGAAAAATGAAAGTTGGGAAATCTTTGAGGGAACAGAATGTTTAAACCAAAAATGAACATTCATTTTGTTCTGGGTAATAAAGTGGCATTTAGTGCACTCTTGTGGCATAAAAACATAATGCAGCTTCCAAAGATGGTCAGTAATACCATATTATATATGAAAGAAGCTTGTGTTAAAGTAAAATTGCCTTTTCAGACTATTCTGTAAAAGCAAGGCAATAACAACAACAAAAGCAAACAAAAACCTGCCTCTAAAAACCAGTTTCCTCTAAGAAAATACTTAAAGGGTAGAGGAGAAACTGATGCATAGCTCAAAAATCCATAGGTTTTAAAAATATGAAATGAATTCTGGCTATCTAAGAAAATCCACTGGGTTTTCTTACATAGGACAAAGTAGAAGGAAAATTTTAGCTAGAGCCTGAAATGAAGTGTGTGTTCTTTTACTTCTTTGAGAAAAGTTTGATGGGAAGATTAGTAGGACAGAGGCTCTCAAGGAAATTGTGTTGCGTTTTCCTGTCTGCCACAGTAAGTAAGAGTGGAAAGGCAGTATTTGTCTCGTGAGACTGTTAAATAGGACTCTTGACTGGTACTTAATGGAAAAGTCATGTAAAGTACATTCTAACATAAGTTGGTTGCTACTGGGAGAGGAACTGGATGACTGGGAGACAAAAGTGAGAGGGTAGCCTTTTCACTAGAGAACCTTTTGTATCTTAAATTTTAAACCATGTGCATGTATTATCTGTATTTCAAACACATTAAAACAAAAAAATAAGCTACCCTCTATTTCAACTACTTGTATACTTAAAAAAACCAGCATTTTTATACTCTTTAAGAACTGGGTGAAAAAGGAAATCAAATAAGTAACAACAGACTAGTTAGAAATTCATTTGTTCATTTATTTCATGTGAGTACGTGATACAAAATATTAAAACATTTTAGAGTAATTTTAGGTCTACAGCAAATTTGAGCAGAAGGTACCGGCGTTACCCTGTATACCTCTCTGCCTCCACACATGCCTAGTATCCCCCATTATCAGTGTTAGCCCTCCACCTCCAGGGGTACATTTCTTGACATTACATTTTGAGAGAGAGAGCATGCGCGTGCACGCAAATGTGGGGAGGGGGGCAGAGGGAGTCCTAAACAGGCTCCACACGCAACATGGAGCCCAATGCGGAGCTTGATCTCATGACCCCAAGATCATACCTAGCTGAAATCAAGAGTCCAATGCTTAACCGACTGAGCCACCCAGGCACCCACCCAGGTGGTGTAAATTCTGTATGTTTGGACAAATGTATAATGACTCGTATCTACCATTATAGTGTCAGAATTGTTTCACTGCCCTAAAAATGTGTTCTATAACTATCTCCATAGATTTTACCATCTCTGTAGATTTGCCTTTTCCAGAATGTCATGTAGTTGGAATCATATAGTATGTAGCCACTTCAGATTGGTTTCTTTCACTTAGTAATATGCATTTAAGTCTCCATGTTTCCATATATTTCCGTGGCTTGATAGTCCTTTTATTTTATTTTATTTTTTTAATAATTTATTTATTTGAGAGAGAGTGGGAGAGAGAGAGAACAAGAGCAAGGGGAAGGAGCAGAGGGAGAGGCAGACTCCCTGCTGAGCAGGGGGTCCGATGCGGGACTCGATCCCAGGACCCTGGGATCATGACCCGAGCTGAAGGTAGACGATTAACCGACTGCACCCAGGCGCCCTTGATAGTCCTTTTTAGCACTGAATAGTCCATTTTCTGGATTTACCATAGTTTACTTACTCATTCATGTACTTGGGTATCTTAGTTACTTCCAAGTTTAGGCATTTATGAATAAAGCTGCTGCAAATATCCGTTTTTCAGTTTTGTGTGGACATAAGTTTTTTAGCTCCTTTGGGAAATACCAAGGAACCTGACTGCTGGCTTGTGTGGTAAGAATATCTTTAGTTTTATAAGAAATTACTGAGCTGTCTTCCAAAGTGGCTGTATCATTTTGTATTCAGGCCATCAATGAGTGAGTGTACCTGTTGCTCCACTGTGCTTGTCAGCATTTGGTGCTACACACCATTCTGATAGGTGTGTAGCAGTATCTGTTTTAATTTGCATTTTCATGATGACGTATGATGTGGAGCATCTTTTCATATGCTTATCTGCCAATTTTACATTATCTTTTGTGAGGTGTCTGTTAAGGTCTTTAAGGTCTTTAGTTCATTTTTAAGTCAGATTGTTTAAAAAAATTTTTTTTAATAAAATACAAAAAGGGGTGCCTGGGTGGCTCAATTAAGCGTCTGACTCTTAATTTTGGATTAGGTCATGATCTCAGGGTCATGAGATCAAGTCCCATGTCAGGGTCTGTGCTGGGCGTGGAGTCTGCTTGAGATTCTCCCTCTCCCTCTACAGCCCCCCCCATCGTGCACAAGCAGGTGTGCACTCACTCTTTTAAAAAAAAAAAAAAAAAGTTGTTTTACTGTTGAGGTCTAAGCCCATGGACCAAACAAATTCTAAGGGAAAATAGAAAAATCTTTTGAACTGAATAATAAATATTATAGTATATCAAAATTTGTGGGTATAGATGAAGGAATGCTTGGAGGAAAAAATACTTCGGGTGAAAAGGAGTTTAGAGGGGCTCCTGGGTGGCTCAGATGGTTAAGCATCTGCCTTCGGCTCAGGTCATGATCCCAGGGTCCTGGGATTGAGCCCTGCATTGGGCTTCCTGCTCAGCGGGGAGTCTGCTTCTCCCTCTCCCTCTATCTACTGCTCCCCCTGCTTGTAATCTCTCACCCTTTCTGTCAAACAAATAAATAAATAAAATCTTTAAATAAAAAAAAAAAGGAGTTTAGAGAGGCACCTGGGTGGGTCAGTCAGTTAAGTGTTTGGCGTTTGAGGTTGTCCTTGGGCTCAGGCAGCCCCACATCAGGCTTTCTGCTCAATGGAGCCTGCTTCTCCCTCTCTCTCTCTGCCCACTGCTCCCCCTGCTTGTGCTCACACTCTCTCTGTCAAATAAATAAATAAAATCTTAAGAAAGTTTAGTTAGTGGTCTGTTTTCACTTTATTAAGCAAGAACAGGATGAGAAAACCCCTAAGTAAGTAGAAGGTAGGAAACGATGAAGAGTGGAAATCAATGACACACAAGTAGATTAAGCAAGAGAATTATACTTAAAAATATTAAGTTGACAAATTCCTAACAGAGCCTAAGAAAAAGGGAACACAGATTACCAATACAAGATGGCAAAGAAGATATCACTACTGATCTGATAGCCATTAAAAGAATAAAAGAATATTAGGCCAACAAAGTTGGCAATCAATTTATATAAACTGGACAAAATCCTTGAAAAAACACTGCTTACCAAAATAACACAGAAGAAATAGAAAATATCTATAGCCCTGTATCAAAGAAATTGAATTCATTATCAAACACTTCCTATAAAAATTTCCCGTAAAAGCGATGTTGTCATTTATGAATTCTATCAAACATTTAAGCAAGAAATAACATCAATCTTCTTAAGTTTTTTTTTTTT